TATTGATTTAGTAGAATTGGAGCTGTTTATAGAATTAAACCCATTCCTTCTGCGTGAGAGGCCCAGCACGAACAGCTACGTATCTGAGATATATTAAAGTGAGCTGTTGTCCCGCCTACCATTGGAGTTTTCAGTGCCAGCTGACTGACTTGAATAATGAAAAACAATACCTTGATGAATTTTAAATTGGTGTTTACCCGTATGGTTTTCCAACACATTTGTGGCGCAATGCTTAGCAATCGTAGATCGCATGCCGAATAAACGGGTTCGACTCCAGGAAATTCGCTTTTTTTATGTTTGGATAGAATATTGATGCACTGCATAAATATAAGAATTATGATTTATTTGAGCCTCTGATCATTTCATATATACGTACATTAAATTTTGTTACTCATAAAAACTTGTGCGGATTGTTTCATGTGGTTTGAAAGTTCTGTCGGAACTTTATTTGAACTTTATGGAACCTGGAAGTTCTGTCAGAACTTTATTCGAACTTTATGGAACATGAAAGTTCTGTCCGGACTTTGATCGAATCTTATGGAACTTGAAAGTTCTGTCGGTACTTTATTTGAAATGTATGGAACTTGAAGGTTCGATTGGAACTTTATTTGAACTTTATGGAACTTGGAAGTGATTTTAATCGTTGAATGCGGAACTTTTGGTTACTTGGGTTTTAGTTTATTCCCTGAAAGTTTGAAGAAAATCCAACCTAAAATAAATTTTTGGCGGACTAACTCAGGTAGTTGCACTCTAACCCTGTTATACAATGTATCTTCCTGCGCGCCCACCTTTGCGAGAGAGTCCGCCTTCTCATTGCCTGGGATTGAGCAATGTGGGGGGACCCATAAAAAGGTAATCATATATGATCTTTCGACCAGCACACTCATCTGCTCTCTTACCTTTGAAAGGAAATAAAATGAGTGCCTACTTAGTTGCATCGACCGAATACCCTTAACCGAACTGAGACTATCCGAGAAGATGAATTAATGGTCTGCGGCCATGTTGGAAATAATGGGGGCCACCTGTTGAGATCTCTAAAAAAAGAGTATTTTTGCAATTTTTTTTAATAACATTAGAATAAATGCAATCACTTCGGGTTTTCAGTATGCTATTAAGCCAAGGGGTATTCAACTCTGCACATTCTAATCTGGGCTGAATACTTTAGCTGTGCCGAAAGCTCGGTCAAGCGTTTTGTTGAACGTGCCGAAGTGTGGCAATCACGCTATCAGTCTCAGTAACCCATGAGTTTGGCAACCCTGTTGACTTTTGAGATTGTTCCCAAGTAACCAAAAGTTCTGATAAAAGGCTATTTGTGGCTTAAGCAGCTTGGTTGGAGGTGGTCTATAGAATTCTAAGCAGCCTCATTAGCAGAGTCGTTATAAGAACTTGAAAGTTCCGGTATCATAATTGAAGAGTATTCTAAGCAGCTTCTGGCGGAACTTGAACGGAACTTTTAGAAAATAGATTATAAAAGGTTTTTTGTCCTCTAAATCACAATTCTATATTGAGTTCGTACTGTTATGAAAGTTATTTCTAAAGGAAGGTATTAATGTGTATTGATTTGAAAAGCATTAATAGTAGAAAATTGGAGCTGTTTGAATAATTAAACCCAGTCCTTCTGCGTGAGAGCCCAAGCACGAACCACTGCGTCATCTGATGTATAATAAAGTGAGTTGTTGTCCCGCCTACTGTTGGAGCTTTCAGTGCCAGCTGACTGACTTGAATACGAAACACAACACCCTGATGAATTTTAAATTGGTGTTTATCCGCATGATATTCCAACACATTTGTGGCGCTTTGGTTAGCGTTCGTCGATCGCATACCGCATACAAGGGTTCAAATCCAGGAAATTACTTTTTAATTTTTTTTTATGTTTGGATGAATGTTGATGCACTGCATATATATAAGAATTATGAATTATTCGGGCCACTGATCATTTCATATCAACGTATATTAAATTTTGTTAATAATAAAGACTTGTGCAGATTGCTTCATGTGGCTTGAAAGTTCTGTCGGAACTTTATTTGAACTTTATGGAACTTGAAAGTTCGGTCGGAACTTTTTTTGAACTTTATGGAACTTGAAGGTTCGGTCGGAACTTTATTTGAACTTTACGGAACTTGGAAGTGATTTTAATCGTTGAATGCGGAAGTTTTGGTTACTTGGGTGTGTTTACATTTTCAAATCAAAGACGGAAAAAAAAGTCGTGATCCACTTTAAGGAAGTGGCACTCGAAGATTAGCCCCTCCGCGAGAAGGAGAAGGGTGACTGATGGCAGAAGCTGTCCATCCAAGAGAAGACAGTTCACTACCGTGCGTCATTCTTGTAGACGTTTGCCAAAACCAAGTACCCAACCGGCAAGTGGAAGATGAATTGTGTACCTGCAATATTAACATCTACTAGTGCAATGCTACAATCTGAAAAATAGGAAGGACTCGATCTAAAATGCCCACCGGCGGTAGTAGCAGCAGCAATAGACCTGCAGTAGCTTTCCAGTGTCAGCAGTCGTGGTTAGGTACTAAATTCGTCTGACCGCCCCCCCCCCCTTTTAGCGGGTTAAACTACTTCGTCCATGGTTTATCCAAATGTCGATTCAGAATCTCGATACTGGTTGCAGTCGTTTGATGATTCCCTCCTCCTTGTATCTGCCTGTTGTTCCTTCGTATTTTTTTTTTATCCTTGGTCATGCCGGAATCGCATATTAATCTCCCTGAAACTGCTGCCGGTTCTGATTGCGTTCATTATGATCGTGATTCAGATTGGCTCTGTTACTTCAGGTGTGGTTACCTTCACAATTCTGTTAGCAGCATTTTTCTTAATGTTTCTGTTGCCATTGGTAATACGAACAGTTGCGAAAGAGCGTAAAGAGACCTCCACAGTCAATCGAATCCGAGCTAGTCCATAGAATAAGCTGCACGGCTGACTGATTGGTGCACCATCAATCGTACCGGGTTGTTCTGCGGGAGAAACAGCTGCGATTGCAGATACATCTGAAGAATGGTAGGATCGTTCGGCACCAGGGTGTTGTTGACACCGTACATTATCGCTGCAATGCTCCTTACCCATAAAATAATTATTGACTCTCGGTCCGGATCCTATGGCCATCCAGTTAATATTTAATTCTAGTTTATTCTGGCCTATTCTGTGGGGCACGGTGACTCTGACTAGTTTGTTTGGACTCCCCTGAAACAATGGACATCTCTCTAAAGCCGTGTGGGCTTTCTGTAGAGGTTCATCCCCCAGAATGCTCAAGGACAAAAAGAGTCTCGGCAATTATACAATCTCTTATTATGATTGGGGACAATTTCGCTGGAAAATGGCAGTGACAAAAAAAAATCCCTTTCCCCTTTACTTTGAAGTAAACGAAGAAGTTATCCTTAGCAACGATTGGCAAAAAGTCAACACAAAACAGTAAAGCCCTTTTATATTATATTTTGTGTCGTACTTGCCATCGTGTGCCATGACGCGCCGATCAGTGTGCCACGATGTGTTTCGGCACAATGTGCAGAGTTGATTACCCCTGGTATTAAGCAACATTTCAGCTATATTTTCGAAAATTGTCAGCCCAAATTTTATTTTTCCGCTGTTGGCAACCCATTGTTCAAAAGCAATCTCGGAGTCAATTGGATCAATTTAGCTCAAAATTGAACTTTTTTTTCGAACGCCAGGTGCAATCTAATACCAGATAGAAGAGCAAAGTAGAGTCCAAACTTGAGGATAGCTACAAAGGAATTCTATGACGAATACAAATTCTGAGGAATTACGAGGAAGATTTCAATGAAATTCTATACACTATATAATCCAGTCAATAAAGATTTACTAGGTTTGTGAATTGCGAGACTGTACGGTAAAAGTTTTAAAATCTGTGGAAAATTAAAAAAATAGAAAATTTATTCCAAACTTTACAGATTTAGTTTTTCTGTGTCATTTGAATTTTTACTGACTTTTTCAGTCTTTTCAGACTCAGTAAGAACATACTGTACCGCAATAGGTCAAGTAGCTGGTCGCAGTGGATTAATGTTCCCAACATAGGAAAAAAAAGAATAAACTCCCCCTTATCCTGCACCGCGAGTGAAGTGAGGTTACTAGCTGTCACTAGTGAGGTGACAAAAGTCACCGTGAATGAAATGACTCTCCGTGCAAATCAAATGGAGGCCCTTATTATTGATATCACTTCACGGTGAAGTGACAACTTCCCATTTGATTTACACGGCAATCACAAGTTGTCACTTCACTTAATAAGGGCCGGAGTCACCTCACTCGCGGTGACTATTATCACCTCACTAGTGACAGCGAGTCACCTCACCTCACTCGCGGCGCAGAATAAGGGAGACTGTTCCTGTAAAATAATTTAAGTGTCCAAGGCCGGATTAACGAACCGTCTGATGTTCGATGCATTAAATACGATGTTGGCTAAATGAGCGGGATTAGGTACTGAGTGAAATTATGGCACTTCACGGTACATTTCTGTAACTTTTGTTTCCTTCGGTCAGATACATCGATTGTTAAATGCACTTTACATTCCGTTGCTATAATATATAATGAAAAGATAACATGTGTGTTCCGTCTCCATTATTTTTTCATCTGTCCTGTCGAACACATCTGGTTTGATCGTCACCACCACTAGAACCACGTCCACGCCAGAGCATAAAACAATCCCACTCTTTATTCAATAAACGACTCAACCACGATGCTTTAGCTGCGGTTTTGTTTATCCACGCAGCATAATTCCCAAAACCGAACAAACATTAATGCGCTGCTCGGGCATTATGGTATGATATGTGCATAGAAAGCGAAGGGTGAACTGCGGAGCCAGATAAACAAATGATATTTCAACAAACTACTAGTACAGGCACTACTATGCAGGCATTAAAAGCGTGGTGTGCGTGCTTTGCAGACGGAAGTTTTGAATTTGTAGGGGAATAAATGAGCAGCATGTTGTAGTATGTTCATATAACTGCTAATTTTGAAAAAAAAAGAGGAAGATACATGATTAAAGCTCAATATTGCACAGCGATTTCCGGAGCCGATGTCACGATCGGAATTTCTGTCGCATCGTGTAAGGCTGTTCCGTTCTCTGCTCCAACAATCTCCTCTATGATCTCCACAATTGGCTCGATAGGTGGATTAATGCTACCCCTCCTGCTGTTGGACTCACCAGGCTCAACGTTTACCGGAGCTCGATCTCCCGTTTCCATGACCGGAGTGGTTGGTCTTATCGTTTCCACAGCTTCAGCAGGATTCTTACCCCTCCGTCTGGTAAGCTCGCTAATCTTGCATGGCCTCAATGGCGGATGGAGTCTCAGATGTGCCGGCAGCTCATCATCCGGGTAGAGACGATCACAGAAATAGACCCGTTTAACGCGGACATTTGCATGTATCTGTATCCGTACGGTCTCGATGTAGTTTGTACCGTACGCACGACGCGTAAAATCAGCCAAATTGAACTGGATTTGATTCCAACCAGGGGTTAGAGCTAGCGGCATTACGGTACAGAAATTGTCCACTCGTGTCGCGCTTTGATAATTGGAAGCTCGGAAGCGACGGAGCGTGTTGCGGTCGTCCAATATCTGAGAGGTTGGATTATTATAAGTTGAATTTAAAGCTAGTTTGGCAAAAGTAAAATACCTGAATCTCGAAGGAGAAGAACTTTTTCAAATTCTTTACCAGCAAAACCAAAAACGGAAGCTTTACTCCGAGCGAAGGACAAGGGCACTTCGGTGCTACCATGTAAGTGGTGGCAACATTGACACCCATCAGTTCAAAGGACATAAGCTTGAGTTCTTCATCTGTTACACGTTTGGAGTGACCATTCTTGGTGAAAACGTCCCATATTTCCAGTGGCTTGCTGCCACTGCTGCTAAAAACTGTCAGAAATCCTCGTTGATACGTGTTCCGGAACATCTCCTGAGATGCGAGATATGGCGACCTAAGATGACAAGTGACGCATGTCGAAGTATGCGACCTACTGCGATGACAGTGCAATTAAATTTGTTCAGAATTTCACCATTTCTGAATTGTAACATCCTTTTACAGCCGTTAAAATACTGGTTCGATTCTTATTGGTAGAAGTTTATGGATGTTTTACTTTATCAAAACTTCTCCAACATAAACACAATGACCTACATTAACATCAACGCAAGTGAGCAAAAATAGCATAAATTCAGTCGTAACCCAGCCAACAGAACACTTTGTTTATTACCCTGATCGATCGAACGGTGTGCAAACGAAATCAGTAGTTCAGCGGGGAAAATCAATAACGGCCAAAAAGTGGGAGCCCCAACCATAAGCGCGTAGACTTTCACGATGGCCGGTAAGAAGAAACGTGCTTCGCAACGCAAATCCGTTCAATTTGCGGCCGCCTCGAAGTCGAAAATTTCCAACGACAGTATATATCCCAGTTATTCAAAATTTAAGTTAACCTAGTAAGTACCTTGCGAATGAAAAATTTGCAAATTAAATCATTTTCTTATAGCCCCGTAGTGTGTCGCCAGCGTTACCACCAGGACAAAGTGCGGTACGACAAGCAGTTCGAGTACGAATTGAAAATGTTGGAATTGATGCAGAATTCGGCCTACGATTCGATGCGTTTCCACAGGTCAGTACAGCGTGCAGCAAACAAGCGAAATCGGTTGGATTTATTTACGCATTGAATTGTATTTTTAGACACTTTGCCATAACTACGCTGTGGCCACCGTTGCACACCCGGAAGGAGATTGAATACGTGCTGGACAAATTTTTCCGCTTACCGGACAAACAGACCCGTCGCTTGCACGACATGATGAACGCTCCGGTGTGCTAGTGTATCGTGAATAGCTAATTTGTCCGTTGAAATAAACGTCAAATCTAAAGCATTCGTTTGAACTTTTTTCAGAGACCCGTTCCAATATTGCGCGTTTAAGGTTGTTTAGCTCACTAGATTTGAAGTGTGAACTAAATAAAAAAACATTACAAATCCCGTTCCGCAAATCGCCATTTTCATTTTGATTTACTTGGACTGGCACAACTCAGTCAGTTCAACTTTGATTTGACCAGGGATTCACCACTGACAACCTTGAACACACGTTCAGTGTTGGTGTCGTAAGTAAAAAAAAGTGCTGCTTCTCAGTAAGATACTTGAGAAGACGTTTGAATCCATCCAAGGTTTCAGTCAATACACAGCATTCACCCCAACGGTAAATTTGAAGGGAAAACTTTGAATTTAACGAAGTTCAAAAGTTCCGTACCAAGAGCTTGGAAATTGGAAGTACAATAGGGGAAATCTTTTCCATCTTAGCATTATGCCGGGAAAGTTTATTCGAATTTTTCCTAGATGATGGATCATTAGAGTGATGCAAAATTTGAAATTTTCGCTCCACAATACTTAAACGATTCCAAATCGGATCCTGACTAACCTCTCAAAATGTGAACCCATTTGGTGAGAAACTAAGATGGCACAAACCATTTGAAGTTTGTATGGGAATTACTATGGTAAAACCAAGATTTTTGTTCATGTCTATCTAATAATTCACCATATTTGTCTGCTTCAAAAGCTTTCAACTGTACTTGTAGGAAATTTTCCCAGCTACAACTTTGCTCAAAACCACTTTTTGATTAAATGCAAGGATCGAAAGTTATCAATGGTTCAATGCGCTGATGTCTTATGATCATGCTCAATCAACTGTTTAGCAGGCAACATTGGTGTTTCTGGGGCGTTGAATAGGACACAAAAATCATGGCTACTATGTCACACTGCAAAATACAGTGTTGCCTACAGAGCAGCTGCTTGATCATGTCATAAGTTTACCAATCTCTTAAATAATTAATAACTTTTTCTTGTCTCGTTTAACATAGAAACAATCTTCAGCAAAGTCGTAGCTGAGAAAATTTTCTATAAGAATGGCTATCGATCTGTCTTGCAGCTCAATATGGAAAAAGACTAGAAAGCAATGAACAAAAAGTTGAGATTTCCCATAGTAATTTACATGTAAACTTCAAATGGCTTGTGCGAAGTCTGTTTCTAACCAAATGAGTTGTAACTTTGAGAGGCTAATCAGGACCCGATTTGAAACCATTTAAGCACTGTGGAGCGAAAAAGTCAAATTTTGCATCAGTCTAATGGATCATTCTCATCATCCGTGAGCATATCATATTGATTGCTCACATAAATTTCATCAGAAGGGGGATCAAGAGATTGCCCTTTTCGTTTGCATTTAGGCGCCAGGTGGCAGTAAAACGTTTCTCCAAATAGACTTAAAAACTACAAGGGACAGCCCTATGGGGTTTGTACGGAATGGTGACGTATACGTATACTACATGGTCTTGTATAATAAATATTATTTGTTAACTGCAGCAGGAGCTTGTGTTTTGTCTAGGAATAGGAATTTGAGCGGGGTTATCTCTGTTTATACTCTTTAGCATGACTATGATTGCCCTGAAAAGAACCTTTTGATATGAATTTTAGTTGGGACATGTTCAGAAATTTAACTCTTTTAGAAAACCTTTGTAGCCCTGAAAAGGGCTGATGGTAGTACATACTTAAATCCTTTGGAAGATGATGATGACAGCTGGATCAGCAAATTCGGACCAAACAATCCCATATTCTTCGGATCAATAATTGGGCACTCGCAAGAGTCTCGGCCCGTCTGCTGCTGGACAGGGGTACGCGCTTGAATAATTGAAAATTCGATGAATATTTAATCGAATAGCTTGAAAAATCTTAACGATTAATCGTTAATCGAATATTTGGAGTTTCAAGCTCCCCCCCTAGAAAATAGTGTAATATCATGTTTTTTGGTGGACCTTCGAAAATTTCGAACAGCAGAATTGCAACCTGCAAGTGTAACCAAAAGCGGTACGATGCTATTTTTCATTGCTATGACGACGACTGAATTAAGGGGCTTAGAAGCAGAGGGGTGACAGTCAGTTCTCTTAATAGATTTCCTCTTTTAATGACCATGCCTTCACTAAACTGTTTAAGAAAATTTCTGCTATCTTCTCTAACATCCAGAACAATAAACTTATCAATTACCGAAACAGAAAGTCGATGAAGAGAATCGATCAAAATCACTTTTTTTTTTTTTTTTTTTTTTTTTTTTTTTTAAATTTCAAATGATTTATGTACAGTCAGTTTTTAACCAAATTAGTTGAAATTTTAGGAGAATGAGCAGGACTCGATTTGGAACCGTTTGAGCACTGTGAATTTGAACTTTCATATGTTGCATCAGTCTTATGAACAAGTTATTGATAAATGAATTGTGCTGATCAAATTAGGTTCCTGAATAGTAATGATTTTTCATCCGCTCTTCAACACTGTCGCCCGTTTTCGGCAACACGACTTAATTAGTTATTGGGGTAAGGTGGGACAAGATGGATCACGTAGCAAGATGAGCCGAACGCTCGCCCACAGTGAAAACTAATCAACATCTATAATAGTTCCTGACAGAACACCAAAGTTGACCAAATTATGAACATACCATAAGCACACTTGCGACTTTTCCAACTTACTCTAATCACCGTCCAATTCTGAATCAACCTCGATAAAACTATTCGAATCGCTTCCACCCTCTAGCATTCCCCGCAATTAGCCTTAAACTAAAATTGCAACATCCTACAACTTATCTACTGCTAATTTTAATTTTGGTTACATTTGAGTACATACCTAGGCAAAAGATTCAAGCTACATTCGTAAACTACTCCGTCTTCCACACGAACGGTTCTAACCGATCGTCCACGTCCAACAGGTTATTCAAATATTCCATGCTTTCAATGTTCTGATTGAGAATGTCATTGCACCGGGTCAGTTGCTGCGATATCACCCGCACCTTGGAGAACGTCTCCGCGTAGGAAGTGTAGAGTTTCTGCTTCTGCACCAGCTGGGCCAGCGCGCTGGAAATCTCCTGGTCCACCTCTTTGATTTTGTTGGTAATCTTCTGCTGCTCGGATGCGACCTGGGTGGCACAGGTGTTGAAGTGGCTCTGCAACCGGCTGCACATATTGATCATGTGGTTCGGGTGCAGTCGCTCCAGCACCTCCGGGTCACGATTCGCCGGTAGGGAAAGGGTACCGCGCATCACCGGTAGAAACATGGGAACGCTCTGCAGTCGCACGATGTCGTCATCCTTCTCGATTCCAGTCTCCTTAACAGCGGCCGACTTTACCACCACGATGTTGTGTGCGGAATTGGTCGCCGTCGTGCTCGTATAAGGTCGCTGCCTACCAACGAACATGGCACTGCCACCGGTGCCGATGCTGCTGCCTGCACCGCCACTGCGAAACGCTTCCTGTGTTCTGCCCACGATAACGCTGCTGGGGCGCATTTTGCCCGCTTTCGTCTGCTGCTTGTTGCGCAACTTGGGCGAATCACCGATGGGCTTGTCCGTGTAGGATATGTAGGGTAGATCGGAATCGGAGCACACGCTCATCGGGGGTGACACCGGTCGCGAATCACAGATGTACGCCGACGACGGTGTCCCCGATGAGGACGGACCCCCGCCGTCGTCTAGGCTGAGAGCGGATAACTCCGTCACGGCGATCGTATTGCCACGGAGTAGCTTGGCTCCGGAGGCAGTCGATCGCGATGGAGTCGGAGTGGCATTGCTGGATTGAGCGCGCAGACTTCCGCCGCGGATGGTTCCGGCTTCGGCCTGCTGCTGTAGCTGGGACTGTTCCGATCCCATAGTCCAAGGAAATGGTTCAAATCTCACTACAGTTTCATTTTCTAGTTGATTTCAACACAGCACTTTCCTCCTAGCAAGTATCACAATTTGCAACGCGCAGTTGAGTCGATCGATTCTATTTTTCGATCGAAATATCAACAAAACTGATAAAAATATCAACTTTTCACTGATGATAAGCGGAGCAATTTTCCACCCACCCAATTTTGCACCCCTGCTTCCAAGTTTGGTTACAAGATTACAACTCTGGAGGGCATTTTGTGTGGTCATTGGGGGTGTGTGGTTCTGAATATGGCAATGAGTGTGCAAAATGTTACGCAATTGCATCCTCCCTATTCGCACACATGCCCAATGATCCGAGGCGAATGTCACTTCAACTTCTTTCGTCTACTTACGACTCTCTGATGACAGTGTTGGGGAAGCAGCATATTCATGCACGTAATTGGTGGATTTTTTAGTTATTCCGACGCTTTTGGACAATGCTTGACATTTTCCATTTTTTCAATAGTTTCTTGTTAAATATTAACAGTCAAAAGCATTGATATCGACGCGTAGAAATATTTCTGATCGATTAGTGATCAAATTATTGCAATTGGTCCAGGGACAGCTGAGTTATTAACGTCCAAAATCTTTCATAATTTCGTTACATGTTCCATTTTCGGTTTTCACAAAGTGTACCCTCATATGGAAATCACAGACGTAGTCCTACGTCAAAAAGGAATCAATCAAGCTAAGGCCTTGTTGTCCTCTGCTGTCCAAAGAAATCGTATCCACTCTACTCGATCTATGGCCACATGTCACAGCCTCGTAGTCTGCGAAGGGTCCGCACGTCAGCTTCTATTTGATCGATCCTCCCTGTCTCTTTTTCTTGTTCCTGATGGGTCGCTTTCGAGAACAATTTTCACTGGGTCGTCGTCCGGCATTCTTACGACGTGCCCGGGTTGCAGTGTGGACGATGAATGGTTCTCACAGCAGCTGGTGCAATTCGTGGTTCATTCGCCCCATCCACGTTCCGTCATCCTTCTGCACTCCGCCGTAGATGATACGCAACACCTTCCGCTCGAAAACGCCAAGGGCGCGTTGGTCCTCCACGAGAATAGTCCAGATCTCGTGGCCATAGCGGACCAGCGGTCTAATCAGCGTCTTGTAGATAGTCAACTTCGTGCGGCGGTGAATTTTATTCGACTCTGGAATAAAAAGTAGGTACGATTCCCTGCAATAATGCGTCTTTAAAATTCTCTGCTGGTATTATTTTCAGCGATCACCAGTGAGCCAAAATACACGAACTCGTCGACCACCTCGATTTTGTCACCGTCAATCTGAATTCGGGGTGGGAACTTGAGTAGTAAGCTAACATTGTTTTCCCTAGAACTTCTTCCTCTCATACATTTCGTCTTCAATGCGTTGATGGCTAGTCCAATCCGCCTAGCATCAGCCTTCATTCAGATGTATGTTTCCGCCATCGTCTCAAAGTTCCGTGCCATGATGTCGATGTCATCGGCGAAGCCAAGAAGCAGGATGGACTTCCTGAAGATCGTGTCACTCGTGTATATCCCAGCTCTTCTAATCACACCTTCTTACGCGATGTTGAATAGCAGACACGAAAGTCCATCACCTTGCCGTAACCCCCTTCGAGATTCAAAGGGACTCGAGAGTGTCCTCGATACTCAAACAGCGCACATCACTCGATATATCGTCGCCTAGACCAATTGCGTCAGTTTTTCCGGAAATTCGTACTCGTGCATAATCTGCCATAGCTGATCTCGATTGATAGTGCGGATTTGAAATCGATGAACAAATGATGTGTGGACACGTTGTATTCGCGGCATTTCTGCAGTACCTGCCGAATCGCGAAAATTTGGTCCGTGGTAGCGCGGGCATCTATTAATACCTATTAATGGTATTGTCCCACGAACTCTTTTGTAGGCGGCGCTCTGAAGTATGATCGCGTGGTATTTGCAGCAATACGACACCTTCCATCCACTCCTTCCAAATCTTGGAAATTACCCAACTCAGCGCTCTAGCCAGTGCTTCATCGCCGTATTTTAAAAGCTTACTTGGTAGTTGATCTACACCAGTTGCTTTGTTGTTCTTCAGCCGACAGATCTCCTCCTCATCTTCTTGAAGATGAGGAGCCGGTAGCCTGTCGTCTTCTGTGCGTGCTCCAAGGTCTTTTGCCGTGCCACCTTCGTTTTCTGCTGCATCACCGTTGAGGTGCTCGTTATAGTAAAGGGCGAACACGAAATTATTGCGACACCGAAAATGTCATGCCAATTTTCTTATAATGTTTAGAATCAAACCAAAATTTTAGGGTAGTTTTATACATATATTTACTTCAAAAATCAAAAGAAAAGTTAATCGATGGAGCCTTGAGTGTAAAATTGAACGCATTTTCGCTTGATGCCCTCCATCAAAGTCTTTACAGTGTCATCTGGTACCAGTTTCTCAGTTTTTTTTTCCATTTTCTTAACATGTCCTTCTCGTCTTTGACTGTCTTCTTGCTCTTCCAAAGTTCCCGCTTCATTATTGCCCAGTACTGCTCCACCGGGCGCAGCTCCGGACAGTTTGGCGGATTCATGTCCTTTGGAACAAAATGGACAGAATTGGCCTCATACCACTCCAGGACACTTTTAGAATAGTGGCATGATGCCAAATCTGGCCAAAATAGCGGAGCTTTGTCGTGCTGCTGCAAGAACGGCAAAAGGCGCTTCTCGAGGCACTCAGATTTGTAGATCTCGTTATTTACTGTGCCCTTTGTCACGAAAGGCTCACTCCTCAGTCCGCAAGAGCAGATGGCCTGCCAAATGAGATATTTGGAGGCGAACTTCGACATTTTCTTCTTCTTAAATTTGTCGTCCACATCGAACTTGCTCTTGCCGGTGAAAAACTCCAACCCCGGAATTTGCTTAAAATCGGCTTTTATATACGTTTCGTCGTCCATCACACAGCAGCCATATTTTGTCAGCATCTTCTCGTAGAGCTTCCGTGCCCGAGTTTTAGCCGTCGATTGTTGCCGCTCATCGCGGTTTGGGAAGTTCTGTACCTTGTATGTATGTAGTCCAGCTCTCTTCTTTGCATTCTGGACGTAGCTCTGCGACATGCCGATCTTTTTAGCCAAATCACGGCTTGAGACGTTGGGATTTGCTTTAATCATCCGCTTCACCTTTCCCTCCGTCTTTTTGTTCTCCGGTCCCGGTTTTCTTCCAGCTCCTTTGCCGTGGTCCAACGTCAACCGCTCCTGGAACCGCTTCAACACTCTGGAGACGGTTGAATGGTGAATGTTCAACATTTTTCCCAACTGCCGGTGCGACAGGTCAGGAAATTCCAGGTGTTTGGAAAGAATTTGTTCTCTCAACTCGCGTTGGTTCACCTCCATTTTCGTTGAATCGAAAAACACGACTTCGAGTTTGACAGCATGTACACAATACACATCAATGAGAAAGTGTGCAAAATTTGGTTGATTTTTACCCAATGGTAAAAAAGTTATGCCCTGTTGAATGTGTCGCAATAATTTCGTGTTCGCCCTTTACTGTTTCCACCTCTCAATCACCTCACACTCGTTCGTGAGAATTAGACTGCCAATAAATGTATGGGAAAAATTTGACCATCAAATTTCGCTAACAAACCATAAACAAACTGTTTATTGCCTCGAAAAATGACCCTATGCAAAATTTGAGCTCAATCGGACATGATTTAGGGGTGGCGCAAACGCGTCAAAGTTTGACTTTTTTCACTCTCGAAAATCTCCCAAGGAGGGGGGGGGGGGTACATGAAATTTCGGAAATCAAAAAAAAAAATTTTTATGCCAATTGTCTTAAAAATGCATGAAACGTCGAGATTTGGTGTTATCTCGAAAAAAATTTGTTTTAAAAATCATGAGTTCTATATGGAATAAAGAAGATTGATGAGTCGGCTTCTAAAACTGTTCACAATTGTCTCCAACCTGCTTATATATCGAATTAAACCACCATTTAGGATCTAATACGAAATAATTCACTAGGGTCATTTTGCATAGGGTCATTTTTCGAGGCAATGAACATTTTGTATATGGTTTGTTAGCGAAATTAAAAATTACCATTTTCGCTGGCAGTCTAGTGAGAATATTACCTTACAAGTCCTTGCACATATTGGTATGTGGCAAGTAGCCTTTACGCGAACTATTTAGCTTCTCGTAGAATTTCCGTGTGTCGTTTACGTGGTACAGATTATCCATCCGCCTCGCGATCTCGGTCTTCCTACTGATGCTTCTTCCTACGGATAACCGAGTTTTTTTTCTGTTCCGTATCGCCTGTATTGTCTGTATCGCTCCACATTCAATCTCGTGCGGTGTTGCCGCATTCTCGCCCGTGCTGCATTCTTCTCCTCTACGCAACAGTTTGCGTTCGCCGTCAATCCAATCATTTCTTCGGTCCGGGATCGCAGTACCTAGTGCCACTGCAGCAGTACTACCTATGACGGAACGGATGTCCCTCCAGTCGTCTTCAAGAGTAGCTGCGCCAAGCTGCTCTTGCGTGGGTAGTGCAGCTTCCATCTGCTGCGCGTAATCCTGGACAACTCCGGTGTCCCGTAATTGCTCAATGTTGGGTCACGACGTTCGACTTCGATGGGTGATATGCACCGTCGAGAGTTTAGAGCGCATGCATACTGCAACTTAATACTTGTCCGAATATATGTTCGCACTGCGGTACGTTGATAATGTTCGAGAAGAATTTCCTGTCGATTAGAACGTGATCGATTTGGTTTTCCGTATGTTGGTCAGGTGATCTCCAGGTGGCCTCGTGGATATCCTTGCGTGGGAAAAAGGTATTTTGAACTACCTCTGCGATGCACGAAAGACTTCGTTTTACTATGTTTAGCACGCTGAGTAGATAGAAAGAAGATTGATGACGATTCTGAAGATTTTCTGCAAAAAGATGATGCGCGATGCAAATACAGTCGAATTTCGCTGGTTGTGCCACTACCTCGGCTTAACTAACGAATTTGATTCCTTTCAAAGTGTTTTTTATGATACTTCATACGTCAAGTTTGCGATTTTCAGAGTTGGTTGGAAATGCTATCTAACATGAAGCTTTAGCGTAATAATTTACTAGCTAGAGAATGTCTGCATTCTCTAGCTAAGAAATTATCACACTAAAGCTTCATGTTAGATAGCATTTCCAACCAACTCTGAATTTGATTCATCTGTTAAGTAGTTTTACCAAGAAATACAAGGTAGGGTAGAGAACTACTTCGACCTAATCGCCCATTTTGGGCCTATCGAGTAGAAAACTTCAAATAAATCCTTGATTTCAGAGTTAAAAAGTCAATTATGCGTTTGGTACGATACTTTAGTTAATAAGCTACGGAACGAAGTCAACGAGAACGCGTCCTAGAAAGGTTTGTACCCATTATTCCCAAAAACAAAAGAAGCGCTCCGACCGAATCCATTTTTATGTTCATCCGATAGGCCAAAGTGAATTAATTGGCGTTTCAATGCGTTAGGCCGAGTTTAGAATTTGTAGGCCGAGTTTGGCGTCAAGAAGCAGTGTTAGACTAGTGACAATATCTCAACGATTGGTTTCTCTTTATCAAATCTTACGGTACGTACGGAAAGGTAAATAAATTTGGAAGCCATCAGTAATAATAACATTCCGTTTGGTGCTAAACTGCGCTAGATTAAGAAAGACTAAGGCTGTGAACCATTTGCCGAGTTAAATTTAACTCGTGGTTAAAAGTGACATTTCGAAAGTTATTTTCTATGTTCGAAAATCCCCGTGCTGTCGAGCGACAGGTTTTCGAGCCACAATTGTGAAATTTTAACTTCTTGTCTGTCAGAAGTAACCACGCTCGGATAGCAGGGTTAATCCACAGACAAACAGACGTAACTCTTCATTGTGTATCTTCGTTCATGCATTTAACGGTTGATTTGAATATTATCATTTCCGCGAACTACTCGCCGCAGCGCTGGCATCGGATCACTTTGACGTCTCTATATATTCTATAGAACTTCTATGCAATATTGTTTACGAGTTAGCGAGCAAGCTTGTTTTCCGCGAGAAGCCAGAGAGATGTCGTTACTGAGGTTATATGTTTTGAGATACTATGTTTTCAAGAACAAGTTTTTCTAAGAGTTACGTCTGTTTGTCTGTGGTTAATCGATAACTTTCCATCTGTCAAATTTTAACCAAAAGTTAAAATAATTCGCCAAATGGTTCAGAGCCTAAGTGCGGGTTGTGCTTAATAGGCCGGAAATGGGGTAGTTAACCCTACTCTCTTGGGAGTTTTTGATGAGAATATAGAAAATTCCATCATCTCTTAGAGCTTTCATATTATGAAACTTTTTAGTTATAGATCTTACATCGTCCAAATCAGGCCCCCAGGAATCATCAAAAATATTTCCCGAGAGAAAATATTCAGATAATCCCGAGTAACCTGTTTCTCACTAGTCCTTAGTAAGACCTAAATTGAAAATATGGGAATTCTCGAATTGCTAAACAAGTGTTGCTCTATATTGATGTTGATTTATTTCTATGAGTATGCACCTTTAAAGCATCATCACAAAAATTCTGCAGAGTCCAGAAGTTTTGAAAATTATGAGCGGCTCTTATTATGAGTATCACTTCCTTATCACCCGTGATAAGGCCCAAAAAATCGATTTTTGGTCAGCTAGGTTGAAGAACTACCCCTCTGTGGAATGAAGTTTTTTTTTTTGGCTCAGACTGCACATAACGGAATGAAGAAATAAACATAAATAATACGGACTCTCAAAGCTAGGCATCAAAATAAAAACTACCAGTGGTCTTATATATTTTCACCATATGTCGACATGAGGTCTATTTCAGTAGGAGTATATTTCATTTCGTGGAAAAAGACTGAAACAGTAACAATAGGTTAGGTGGTACAGTTACATACGTAGTAGCATATCTTCCTGTTGATGGCCTCTAATAGCCCTGTCTAAAGAAAACTGTATTGATACGTGTCGGTTGGCTCACTAGAGTATTTTTTGTCCTACAGTAATGAGTAAATGTAAAGTCCTACAAAAAATAATGAGTATTTGATCTTCCAGAACTGTAATATTTTTGCTATGTTGTTATGTTGATTTCGAGTTTGTGGTTTCTATCAATTCCTAAATAATGTCTACTATTTTCAATCATTTCCTTTGAATGACGTTTAGCTTCCATTTCGGAATCCTTATTTAAAACTAAAATTGTGTTTTAAATATTCTTAGAACAAATCTAGTTATCACAATGCTATTATACAAAACAACGATGCTCGTACATAGTTTTCCGTATGTAGTTGAGAGAGATAACATTCGAGTTGGTTCGGTGGTTAGATACCGGAAATGGATATTATTTGGTAACATACCAGTCTATCTTAAAGGGCTTTTTCAAACTATTGTATTCATATTGTCTACAGACACTATCATTTAATTTAATGTGGGCAGAAAGGAAAAAAAAACACGAACACCTAGGGTTTCTGAGATACATAACTTAAAATTAAAATGCTAAGCCCAAACCAATGAAAATAATGAATTCCCTTGAAACAGGGAACACCTTAATAATTGAGGGCTGAATCCCAAAAAAATAAAGGTATTTTTCCTAACCGCTTTCAGCGTCCTAACCGTCAACATTTTTGGTGGTCGTTGATAATATCACTAATTCACTAAATCGAGAGCACATTCCGATAAGGATTCCATTTTTCTAAGAAGCGCCAACTGCCTCCACTGGATATAGATGGTTGAGTATGGCAAAGTAGTGTACTGAAGCGGCCAACACAACGAATAAATGCCAAATCGCATGAGCGAAAGGAAATAATCCGTCTGACTTGAAGAAACCAAGTCCAACTATGTACAGGAGTCCTCCCAATTTCAGTTCGGTCATTCCGGTGAATTCATGACCCCAGCAGACGATCACCAGTGATGGGACTACACCGATCACGGTGTAAAAGAAGGTTTCCAAGCATTTGTAGCGCTCGTGGAACATCTGAAACGGGAAGGGGGAAATTTGAGTTCAACTACAAATAGCTAGCATAGAATATATCAGCAGACCTGTTGGTAAATTATGCCCAAGATAGCCATCACCCAAACGCACCACTTGACCACCGAGACTATCTGCGGATGGGAAGTGTGTCCCAGACTGAGCCACGGATAGTACGACCCTGCAATGAAGATGTAAATCATTGCCCTGTCGCACCGGTGCAGCACGTCCTTCAGCTGGCGGCTCCGGTTGCAGTAGAACACACAATGGAAGAAGGTGGACACGAAGAATAGCATCGACAGAGCGGCTCCGTAGATAACGGCGGCAAGCATCTGTGAGGGGGTGTAGCTGCGAAAGAGCAAATTCATTCCGGCATACACCGACGGTAGCACCCAGAGCCCGTGCGTGATGACGTTGGCAATGTGTTCGATCTGCAAGCAGGAAAACGAGATGATAAATGATGAAATGAATTGAAATGGTAAAATTAATAATTAATTGCCGGTCAACTTATGTAGATTAGGCTTAGTAATATCAAGAATGTTTGCTCAGTATTTCTAAGATATTGCATAACAACTCGGTACCTGTAATGATATAGTCTCAAGCGAATGGCACAAAGTTGAGTTCAGTGAAATAAAATTCTTCGTTCGGCGTGGATGGTTCAGTTCTTATAGGACGCACATGGAGCTAGATTTAAGGTGAATTCTCACGATTTTTTAATGTAAATTTATAGATAGGGTGGGTGAGCCAGTAGTGGAGGAGCTAAGACAAGTTATTTATTAAAAAATAAAATAAACAATGTACATACTTTTTTTAGATGTCAATCTATAGCTTTCAATCTCTATTTTGCTAGAAAAATATTACATCGTAATCAAATTGAATACATTTTCCGAAAACTTGTTCTCCATTAATAGAAACACTGTTCCAGTAGTAGTGATACTTGCTAACTTTGGTTCCTATAATAGTGGAACGCATTGCTTCTTATCGGTTCCACTATTATAGGAACACTAGCACAACTATTGGTGCAAAGGAGTCAAAATCTTAAGGAAAATTAATTGTTTTCCATTGATTTTGAGCAAATTTTAAGTTTTCAATATGCAAATCTGCATTATTTTAGGAGAGCTACCAAAAATAACCTCATCTGGTTTTCTCTCATTATTCCGGCACAACCCCTATATTACCACTATTGCTGGAACTTCCCATAAACAATGAACTAGTTAACAAGCTTACTGGCTGAAGTGGTACTATCACAGACTAACAGACGGAACTCTTCATACTGGTTCACCGTTCACGCATTTAACGACAGATTTGAATATAATCATTTTCGCGAACAGCGCTGGCATCGGATCACTTTGACATTTCTATATGATCTGTTTACCTTGCATGCTACATTGTTTGCGACTTAGCAAGCTAGCTTGTTTTACGCGAGAAGCTCGAGAGATGTCTTTACTGAGGTCCTGTTTTTGAGGCACAATGTTTTCAAGAAAAACTTATTCAAAGAGCTACGTCTGTTTGTCCGTGGCACTACGATTTTTATCGTTCAGTATACAGGGTGAGGAATAATTATCCGTGTAATGAGAAAGAGAAGGATTAGTAATTTCCATTTAATTCTACTACCTTATTTGCTTATCCTTGACAGATACGCGTATTTCGTCTACAATGTGCAGACTTCTTCAGTGTCTTGTACTAATACAGTCGAGTATTAGTACAAGACACTGAAGAAGTCTGCACATTGTAGAAAAAATACGCGTATCTGTCAAGGATAAGCAAATAAGGTAGTGGAATTAAATGGAAATTACTAATCCTTCTCTCTCTCTCTCTCTCTCTCTCTCATTATACAGGTATTCCACTAAGACGCCCACATTCATCAGAATTACCCGTGGTTAATGATTTAGTCGTAACTTTATTGCTTGTGTATTGAATTACAACATATTTATGGGAAATGTAGGTACACCAACACAGTTCATGATATTTACAACAATTTCTCAAAATGTGCTCCTTTGACTCGTACACACGCCTTCAACCTCTTAGGGAAATTATCGACGATGGACGTTAGTTCCTCCACATATATTGCATCCCAGACTTTTGTCAAACTTGCTTTCAGATGATCTAAAGATACGTGTGACTTAGTACAGGCTCTGGACTCAAGAATAGACCAGACGGAAATAGTCCATTGGATTCAAATCAGGAGAGTTTGAAGGCCATTCATCTTTTGTCAAATATCTAGGAAAAAGTTTGCTTCAAAGTTCCAGCGTCTTTTTCGCTTCATGGTGCCCAATCCTGTTGAAACGTCCAATCGTTGTTACCGAAATGCGTACGTGCCCAAGGTGCAACGGTGTCCGTCAGCAGCATCTGGTAGACTATTTGGTTGATTTTGACGCCTTTTTCGATAAATATTAAGGGAGTTTTATCGGAAGCCGTAATTCCCGCCCAAACCATCACCGAAGCTGAATGATGTGATCTGGCAACATTCGTACGGTTAGAAGAACCCTTTGGCAATAGCTGGCGATAGTTTTGGTGATTGTGGTATTTCTCAACAGTGAAAATCTTCTCATCGGTGAATAAAATCGTGCGATACCGTCCATTGCCGAAATCCTTCAATAATATCTTGGATTATTGTTACCGATTCCTTTTCATCCTGTCATTTAGGTAATTGTTTTTCGAAAATTTGTAAGAATGCAATCCTAAATCCTTGCGTAGAATAGTTCGTACCAGAGTTGGCAAAATCAGAAATCAATTGATATTTTCCGCTCTCATGCGCTCGCAATATCACGCATGATATTGGAACAAAATATCATGCTTGATATTGATTTTACAAGCTCCTTTGATATTGCGAGACTATTCACAACGTGCAAAAATCAAGCTGACAGTTGACTCGACACAAAAAAGATTCCATTGCACATCGTTTTCTTAGAAAAAGAATGCATAGTTTGCTATCTCTTTTTAATCTTCATCGATGACAGACGCGAAGGGACTGCTGCAAGCCGTTATGGAAGTTTCGGTTGCATTCGGATGTAAAGCAAAAATCATTAAACTCAATCTCACCACAGTTTGGTGAGATTTTCATTTGGTGAGTTGTGTTAGCTTGATATTCCGAGCTGTGGTATCATAGCTTGCAAAATCAACCGCAGTAGTTTGCTTGTTGATTTTTGTCTACGAAAATCAAGCGTGATCTTGGGCGTTGGTGAGATTTGATTTTTTGATATCTTCCCAACACTGGTTCGTACTGACTTTGGGTCGATTTTCAATGATTCCGCCATTTTTCGGATAGACCGTATAGAATCTTGATTAATCCTTAGACGAAGTATGTTCCGGTTCTGAGGGGTCCTCACACTTCTTTTTCTGCATTTTCCTGAAAGGTCCTCCAAATTTACGAGTTCTTGGTACCGTTTTATAGCATCCCGAACTGTTTGTGAAGGTATTTGCAATGTTTTTGCAATACGTGCCGGACGAATTCCTTGTTTATAAAGCTTAATTACCGCACTTCGTAGTGGACTGGGCTTCATTACGGCAATACACGTGAACCGATTCAAACGAAACTACAAGCGTTTGTTTATTATGTACCAAGGTCTCAATTGGCAGAGGTGTGCTTCATTTCAGCAAGAAAGCTAGAATTTTTTATAAGCTTACAAATAAACATAAGTTTGAAAATCTTTAAAAATTTGCATAACTTGCTTTAACTTCCATTTTAAAAAAAAAATAGCATTTTTGATAAGCTTTTATAAGTTTTGAAATTGGAAAAATGTAAATTTTTTTGTGATAAAAGTTCAAACAGTTTTTTTTTCCAATATGTGATTTTTTTGCCGATGACTCGTCGTTGCTTTGCTCATCACTTTCAATGAAAGTAACGTCGATTATCGAGATTAAACGAAACCTCCTTTTGGCTTTCAATCCCTTTCACCGACACTCTGTCACTGCTCTTTCAATTTGTGTAATATGCGTTCCCAAGTAACCAAAAATTCTGATAAAATGCTATTTGTGGCTTAAGCAGCTTGGTTGAAGATGGTCTATATAATTCTAAGCAGCCTCATTTTTAAGTTGTTATAAGAGCTTGAAAGTTCCGGTATCATAATTGAAGAGTATTCTAAGCAGCTTCTGGCGGAACTTGAACGGAACTTTTAGAAAATAAATTAAAAAGATTTTCATCCTCTAATTCTTTTAATTCGCACTTTTATGAAAGTTATTTCTAAAGACAGGTATTAATGTGTATTGATTTATCAGTAGAATTGGAGCTGTTTGAAGAATTAAACCCAGTCCTTCTGCGTGAGAGCCCCAGCACGAGCCGCTGCGTCATCTGAGATATAATATAGTAAGCTGTTGTCCCGCCTACTGTTGGAGTTTTCAGTGCCAGCTGACTGACTTGAATACTAAACACAACACCTTGATGAATTTTTAATTGGTGTTTGCCCGCATGGTATTCCAACACATTTGTGGTGCAGTGGTTAGCGTTCGTAGATCGCATGTCGAATACACGGGTTCGAATCCAGGAAATGTTGATGCACTGCATACATATAAGAATTATGATTTATTCGGGCCACTGTTCATTTCATATTTACGTACATTAAATTTGGTTACTAATAAAGACTTGTGCGGATTGCTTCATGTGGTTTGAGAGTTCTGTCTGAAATTTATTTGAACTTTATGGAACTTGGAAGTGATTTTAATCGTTGAATGCGGAACTTTTGGTTACTTGGGTTAGGTCCCGTTTTCGTTACTTTTTTTTAGATAAAAAGGTGGATGGAATGTAAATTAAACAAATTACGTGTAATCTTCAAGTGTTTTCACGTGTGAAATGCTTTAAACATATTTTTTTCATTTTCCGTCATATACGGCATGAAACCTTTGTTGATGAGTTCCATGAAAGACGAAACTATCAAAGTCGAGCGCTCTTGCACTCGTCCGCTTCACCGAAGCTTGAAAAAAAAAACGACAGGAGAAAGAAAGACTAGCGATTGAAAATTTGATTGCAGACGCCGACTGAGGTTCTAGAATACTGCGAAGCTGTTCGACTTCACCAGAAAAAGAAAGCTAGCAGTCTCTTCGTCGCATCGATTTTGTCCATTGAAGCTGATATTGTGACGCCCTGCTTGTGGATTACTCGAGCTTAGAGGGGTACATTGTTGAAGGATAGAATCAGGGGAGGATCTTGAAGTTACCTCTCACACCAGCAGACCTGGGTTTAACCCCAGCCGGCGCCGCCGTGATTTTCTGAAGCAAGTATAGGGAAGTAAAGCCGTTGGTCTCCGGTTCATGAGTTGATGGGTCGATAGGTAGGGTCCAGGTGTGGGAACTGCCTCCCTGGCGTCGGTAGCATTGGTGCTCAGCACGGAAAACATGATCGACGGAAAACAAATCAAGGAAAAAAAAAGGGGAGGATCTTGGGGGTGAGGCTTCGTTGACTCATCAGAACATTGTCACCAGTGAACAAGAGTGC